TGATGATGATGGCGGTGGTGATGGTGACGGTGATGATGCTGATGGTGTTGATGCTGAGGGTGATGGTAATGACGATGATGGTAGTGACGACGATGGCGATGATGGTGATGATTCTGAGGATGATGATGATTCTGATGATGAGGTTGTGGTGACGATGTTGATGATGCTGATGATGATGGTGGTGATGGTGATGATGATGATGATGATGGTGATGGTGCTGATGATGATTGTGATGGTGATGGTGGTCGTGATGATGATGACAACGACCATGACGATGCTGACGATGATGCTGATGTTGATGAGAATGATGATGATGATGATGATGATGATGATGATGATGATGATGATGACTACTACAATGATGATGACGATGCTTATTGCGATGATGGTGATGCTGGTAATGAAAGCGGTGCTTGTGTTTATGTTGATGAAGATGACGGTGGTGCTGGTGACGGTGATCATGCTTATGATGTCGATCACTGCAAGGTAAAGGTGATGGTGATTGTAATGGTTCTAATGACGACGATGACGAAGATTGTGCTTATGATGATGATGATGATGATGATGATGATGATGATAATGATGATGATGATGATGATGATGATGATGACGCTGATGATGATGCTGATGATGTTGCTGATGATGATGCAGCTGCCGATGCTGATGCTGATGCTGCTGATGATGATGGTGATGATACTGGTGATGATGATGACGGTGATGGTGATGGTGATGATGATGATGATAATGCTGGTGATGTTGATGCTGTTGATGCGGATGATGATGGTGTTTGGGGCTATGATGATGATGATGATGATGATGATGATGATGATGATGATGATGATGATGATGATGACGATGATGTCGTCCTGGAGGCCGCTTGGGAGCACTTGGGGAGTTCCGAAGGGAGAGATCTGAGAGGACCCGCTGGAATTCCAAGCACGTCCGAAGGCCTCCCCTGAACCTCCGAAGACCCCTCCTGGCACTTCTTCTGGGGTCCTCTTGGACCCTCCCGGACTTCTTCTGAGTTCGTCACAGAGGTGCCCATGGCCTCCCCAAGGTCTCTCACATTCCCTTTCGGCCAGCGCTTCCTCTGGGCGCACACCGCCAGGCGTCTCGGATAGATCTTGGCCGTGTCGGTCTTGAAGATGCAGCTGAACGGCTGCGCGAAGGCCGAGAAGTCCTGGACCGGGGAGGAGCTCAGGCCAACGTAGGTCGCCGCCGAACCGAAGCACTCGCTCGCAGTCGTCACGTCGACCATCCCCGCGTCGTGGCACGTCTGCCCTGTGGACAGGAGCGTGTAGTCGTTCCCCGAAGTGGTGCTCGTGGCAGTCGCCGTTGCAGAGACAGCCGTCAGACTGCTGCTCAACGTGATCGTCGTGGCGCTCATTGTCGAGCTCGCTGTCGAGGCCGAGGTGCTGGAAACAGTACTCGTCGCGATCCCCCTGCATACGAAATTGTAGCCGGAGTCGCCGATGGTCCCAGAGCCAGTGGAGTCCGAGAATAGCATGTTGTTTGTAGATGGGTCGTAGACGCAGCTCAGTCCGAGGCTGCTGCCTGGGACGTAGGTACCCCCCGCAGGGTTCAAGCCCAAAGCGGTGGCAGCATCGCCGAAACACTCATCCTTCGTGGGCACGTCGTCTGTTCCCGTATCGTAGCAAGTCTCGCTGGCAGGCAGCATGGAATAATCGAGCTCAGTGGCGGAAATGGTAGTGCTGACAGTTGTCGACGCGGTCGATATCGACGAGGTGGTGAGTGTTGCCGAAGTTTCTGTGCTGGTGAAAATGCCTGGACAAATGTACTGGAGCAGACTGTTAGGCTGAGCGGTAGCGCCAGTGGCCGTGGAGTAAAAGACCTTCGACAAGGTGAAACCCACTGCGGATGCCTCTCAACCAGCACCGAAGATACCAAAACAAATCCTAGCAAGCACAGCGCTTCAAACAAGTCGGATAACATGGCACACAAGTGCCCGAGGAAGGCTGCCCAGGACCCCGGGATCAACGTTTGTCTTCTGGGTTCAATGGGTTTCACCCTGTCAACCTGGCCAGACGAAATGTCATAGACGCAGCTGACAGTCAGGGCACTGACAGGCACCAGCAGTGTAACAACATCCCCATAACCCACAGCTTTCTTTGCTATTCCAAAGCACTCGGCCGAATCAATCACGTCGCTGAGGCCGCCTTCATAGCACGTTATGCCAGCGGGCATCAGCGAATAGTCAGGGAAAGGTGTAGTGGTTGTAGCCGATGAGCTGGTCTGTGTCAAAGTAGTGCTCGTGAGTGAGCTGCTGGTTGCGGAAGTTGTCGTGCTAACGTACACGCCGATGCAGACGTACTGGTCGGTAGCGTGGCCATCTGATCCCGCACTGCCGTCGCCAAAGGTGAGCATGCCGTTCTTCCAGACGCAGCTGTGGGCGAAACCGACGAAGGGCCCGAAGGTCGTTCCCGAGAGGCTCAGCGCCGTCATCGCCGCCCCGAAACACTCCGTGGAGGTGGTTATGTCCTCAGGGGGGAAAGCCGCATAAGCAAGCTTGCCAACGTGGGCTCCAAGCCGCGCGCTCACGCACTCTTGGTGTGCGAGCTCCGTGGTGGAAGCCAGGCGCGCCACAGGCAATGTGTGGTGCAAGTCATGCGGTGTAAGCAGTGCGGCCCAAACGCCGCGGTGCAGCTTCTGCGAGGCGCAGGCCCTGCGGCGGAGGCCGTGTGGTGCAAGCGGTGTGGCGAGGGTGAGGGCCGTGTGGTGCAAGAGGAGAGGGAGGAGGAGAGGGAGGAGGAGAGGGGGGAGGAGAGGGGGGAGGAGGAGGGGGAGAGGAGGAGGAGGAGGAGGAGGGGTGAGGAGGAGGAGGAGGAGGAGGAGGAGGAGGAGGAGGAGGAGGAGGGAGGAGGAGGAGGAGGAGGAGGGCTCGCCCCCCCCGATGCGGGACAGCGTGCCCTCCATCAGCACGAGGGCGACCACGAAGCGCCCACGGGCGCTCACCCAGGCGGACACCTCGGCAGACCCGCCGGCGCTGGGGGCGCCGCCGGGCGACCACGGTCACAGCAGGGAGGGAGGGAGGGAGGGAGGAGGAGGGAGGAGGGTAGGAGGGAGGAGGAGTGAGGGGGAGGAGGAGGAGGGAGGAGGGGGAGGAGGAGGAGGGGAGGAGGAGGGGGAGGGAGGAGGGGGCAGGAGGAGGAGGGAGGCGGGGAGGAGGGAGGAGGGGGAGGAGGAGGAAGGAGGAGGAGGAGTGGCAACCCCGCCAGCGAGCGGGGCTCCCACGAGGCACCCACGGGCGCCTGGCAGAGGACACCTCACCAGGCCCACACAGCAGACGACGCGCTCGCGAGGTGCCCACGGCCGCCAACCAGGCGAAACCTCATCGGGCCCATCCTGCTCGTGCTCCTCCTCCTCCTCCTCCTCCTCCTCCTGATCCTCCTCCTGCTCCTGCTCTGATCGTGCTCTCCTCCTCCTCCTCCCCCCGCCTCCTCCTCCCTTCTCCCTCTCCTCCTCCTCTTCCCTCTTTCTCCTCCTCCTCCTCCCTCCTCCCTCTCGGCGTGGCGGACGCACCCTTGTGCACATTCCGTATGATCCCGTATGATCCCTCCTCCCTTCCTCCCTCTCCCTCCTCCTCCTCCATCCTCCTCCTCTGCTCTCCTCCTTCCTTCTCCTTCCCCTCATCTCATCCTCCTCCTCCTCATCCTACTCTCCCCTCCCTCCTCCTCCTCCTCCTCCCCCTCCTTGTCTTCCCTCCCCTCGTCGTCCTCCTCCTCGGCTCCTCCTTCCTCATCCTTCCTCCCTCTGCACTTTTCCCTTATAAAGGACTCCTTCCCGTCGTGCCTCCAAGCGTGTCGGTGGAGAGGGCCGGGCATTTCGCCTGGGACTTTCTCACCACCTACGATCCTGAGACTTGACGCCTGCAACAGTTTCGAGGATGGTGAGCGGGTGCGTCTCAATGTTAGCCAGCGTAGACCCCAAACAAGGTGCGGTGCAGTCTAGACGGTACAGCCAATGTTCTGCATTCCAGATGGTGCAATCCACATGGTGCAGTGGATGCGGAACAAAACAATTCAAATCCATGCCACTAACGCACTGTGAAACAACGCGAAGCAACGCAACAGAACGCAACGAAATGCACAGCAATCCAACATATGTAAAGCAATGCAAAGCGATGCAAACCAATGCGGGGCAATTCAAAGCAATGCAAACCAGCGCAGTGCAGAGCAACGCGAATCAGTGCAAATCAGCGAAACGCAATGAGCATCAATGCAGAGCTTTGCAGAGCAACGCAAAGCATCGCCAAGCAACCCACACACGCTGCACTGCACCGCACCGCAACGCAACGCAACGCAATGCCAAGCAATACAAAGCAATGCAACACAACGCAACGCAAAGCAATGCACAGCAATGAAAAGCAGTGCGATTGCAACGCAATGCGATTGCAGTACAGTGCCCCGACGACGGGGTGCGGCAGGCGGCGATGAGGTGGCGACGGCAGCCACGTGGCGGCCAGAGCTGCCCGCGGGCCCAGGCGACGGGCGGCGACGAGGCGGCGACGGCGGCCGTATGGCGGCCAGATCCTTGGCATCGCTCGGACGTCCATTCCCTGTGTTTTTTGTTCGGTGTTGTGCGTGGTTTTTTCCCCAAAGGATCAAGGATGCTCCTCGATGGTCCTCGCCGAAGGAAAATGCACACGTCCGAGCGATGCTAAGGGCCAACAATACCCCGCCCGCCCTCCGCCCGCGCAGCTCCCCCGGCGGCTCAGCCTGCCACGAGCGCGCGCGCGGCGCCGAGGCGAGGAGCACCTCTTGAGAACGGCCCGCCCCGCAGCCGCGAAAGCTCTGGAGCTGTCCCGAAACGGAGAGTGGGCGCGGCGCCGAGGCGAGGGGCCCATCTTGAAAACGGCCCGCCCCGCAGCCGCGAAAACTCTGCGATGCCAAGGATCGGACCGCAGGCCCACTGTTCGGCGGCAACTCATGGGAGCCTCCCATACCATCTTGTCGGCTCTTGCGAATCGACGCTAATCGACTCTAGTCGACGCTAATCGACGCTAAATCGACGCTAACCGACGCTAACTGACGCTAAATCGGCGTTCTCTCATCGACCCCCAGACGCTAATCGACGCTAACCGACGCTAAAGACGGAATTGAAAGGGCACGCCAGGCTCCCATGACTTGCTACCGAACCACTGCGTTGGACAAGGGATGACGAGAACCCCATTTTGGCCGCGTCTCGCCCCCCGGGAGGTTCCTGCCGAGCAGCAGCTCGGGAAGCATGCGCGGATAGCGAGAGAAGGCCTCGTGCGAAACGCCCAGCCCGCCCTGCCGACACGCCTCAGGGCGCGCCACGGAGGCGCGATTCGTGATGCAAGGAAATGGAGGAGAGGGGAGGCAAAGGAGGAGGCAAACGAGGAAGGGGGAGGAGGAGGAGGAGGAGGAGAAGGAGGAGGAGGAGGAGGAGGAGGGAGGAGGAGGAGAGGAGGACCACTGCGTTGGGGAACACGGCCCGACAACCCCAGCAGCAAGCACGGCCTGGGGAGGGTGAAGCTGCGGCCTCGCCCGGATTCCGCGCGCACTCGAGAGGAGGAGGAGGAGGAGGAGGAGGAGGAGGAGGAGGAGGAGGTAGAGGAGGAGAGTAGGAGTAGGAGGAGGAGGAGGAGTCTCAAAAGGCCTGGGAGGAGGAGGAGGGAGGCAGGAGGAGTGGGGGGTGGAGGAGGGGAGGAGGATGAGGAGGAGGAGGAGGAGGAGGAGGAGGCCACTGCGTTGGACAAGGGATGAGAACCCCAGCATGCAAGCACGGCCTGTGGGGAGGGTGGAAGCTGCGGCCCTCGCCCCGGCTCGCGCGCACTCGAGGAGGAGGAGAGCAGAGGAGGAGGAGGAGGAGGAGGAGGAGAGGAGGAGGAGGAGGAGGAGTCTCAAAAGGCCTGGAGGAGGAGGAGGAGGAGGAGGAGGAGGAGGAGGAGGAGGAGGAGGAGGAGGCCCACTGCGTTGGACAAGGGATGAGAACCCCAGCATGCAAGCACGGCCTGGGGAGGGTGGAAGCTGCGGCCCTCGCCCCGGCTCCGCGCGCACTCGAGGAGGAGGAGGAGCAGGAGGAGGAGGAGGAGGAGGAGGAGGAGGAGGAGGAGGAGGAGGAGTCTCAAAAGGCCTGGAGGAGCTTCGAGGACGGAGGCCGGGCCCTCTCCAGCGTGCGGATCTCGCCCCGACGCCGCGCGCGCCCGCCCCGACAGCCTGCGGCAGCTTCCGGGACTGGGGGCGGGCCCGGCTCAAACTGCGGCCATCGCCTCAAAATGCATTGCACGCAGTGTTGTGTCGATCATGCACTTGCTGTGTTCGCATGCCGCTGCCACTTTCATTCGAGTCCTGACGAGCCCCAGCGGGGGCGAAACGTCGACACGCGTACTGGAAAGGCACGGGCTTGAGAACGCCATACGAGTAAGGGCCCGGCTCAAAATGCGGCCATCGCCTCCGCGCCGCGCACGTTCGGCGCAAACGCTTGCAGCGGCTTCCAGGATGCAGGGCAGGGCCGTCTCAAGAGGTGGTCCTCGCCGCAGCGCCGCGCACGGCCACCTCGAGCAATCGCAGCAGCTTCAACGATTCGCTTGGCTACGGTCCCAGGAGTGGTGTTCTGGCACGGTCCAGGGTCGACAGGACGCAACTTTGACATTGATTGCCGGAGTTGAGAAGTCCCAAGAAGGGTGTTCTGGCACGGCTTAGGATTGTCAGGACGTAGCAGTTACGTTGATTCGCGAAGAAAAAATTGTAGGAACGATGTGTTGCCACGATTGAAGATTCTCAGAAGGTTGTCTTCCAATGTGGCACCCGCAATGGAAATTAATCCTTACTGGGACCTGCGAGGAGGGAACTCGGAGAGAGGATGTATTGCAACATTGTTGACGCGTCTTGGGTTTACACTGGTACATCGCACATCGCACGAGTCCAGGCCGACAGGTGGCCCTGACTGAACGTCAGTCCCATCAGGAGGACCCCGTTGTGTCCTCCAGGGCAGGGTAGAATTTCGAGGGCGTGGGGGTGAAAGACAGCTGCGGAACTGCAGTCGAAGAGCGGGGCCTCAGAGCTCCTCTGTCCAGTACAGTCCACAGCCCTCATAAGGACGCGCGGCAGGGACGCAAAGACCCTTGGAAACGCCGAAGCGGGGATTTCTGGGGCGCCGAGGTGGGCATTTTTTGGGGGCGGCGGACGACGGAAACCCCGAGACGGAACCGTGGAAGGACGGAGACGCAAGAAGCAAGGAAGAGCAAGGACGCGAGGGCACCCTGCGCAGAGTCGCGCGCCCCTCTTAGGGTTCTCTTGGCTGTGTACCTCCCGGATGCGTGCGCTGCCCGAACCCCCCCCGAGGCCGGCTCGGATGATGCGGGTCTGGGGGCGACGCGGGCCGAGAGGCGCCCGCAGGCCCTCGCGGAGAGTGCCATGCAGCCACGCTGAACACGGACAACATCCTCCTCAATAATATCATCATCCCCGAAGAAGAGAGGTGAAGAAGAGAAAGAGAGAAGATAGCACATCTACA